AACCAACATGAATCTGGCCGTTCCAGCAGCGTATGCAAACCAAGCAGTGTGCTTCAATCCACCCAAATCTATAAGGAAGGATATTTCTTGGATATTCACCTTATAGTGAACTCAACTGCTGGAGCTGTCAGCATCAGAAGAGTAGCTCAATTTGAAAGTCAAATGACAGTCAAAACACACACGTAATGAAAAGCAAACAGCTGTATTTCATTTAAAAATCATCAGGTCAGCATATCCATAAAGCCATGGCGGCCCATTGACCCTCACGTTAATATTTAATAGAGATTTAAATCTGTGCCTTCAGTCTTTTTGAGAAGAATTTCGACAAAGGGGGAAAAAAACTCTTATCTCTTTCCATCACCTTTCTGAGCAAGCATTCATTTAGAGAGAGTTGAGCGATCTCATTTGCAGGTGCATTAGTGCTTTTCGCTCGCTGCTCTCGGAGCCTCAGCCGCTGCTGACAGCGATATGGAAGATAGAGGAAACATGTAAACGTCCTTTAACCCCTCGGTGCACAAAGATGACTCAGTCTTTTAATGATGAAGAGGTTCATAATCAACCGTACAAGAACAACTTCTCTCCCCCTTAGCGTCTGTGTGTGCGCTGTGCGTAGTATTGCTGCTTTTGCTTTAACCATATGGCTGTCTAAAATACTTGATTCTGATTGGTCAATGGCAGCATTCTGAAAGAAGATCACATGTATTTGCATAATGACTACTAAACTGAATTGTAATTTTGAAGCAAATCAATATTAATCAATATTTCACACAAATGAATGTGTTACTTTAGAAAGTAGCAGAGTAATAACTGAGATATTATTACAGTCAGCTGGTCACCAATGTAAAATAAAAGATGGATAGATGGAAGAAAAATAACATGGCCATCCTAAATCTCAGCCAGCATGCCACAGCAAGAGGGGGATAAGATGAATTTGCATGCCATGGACAAGTAGAAAAAAAAGAAAAGGGAAATAGGAAAAGTGTGGTCAGCATCTGTAGCTCATTATTCACATCAGCTGCAGTAATTTCCAACACACAGATCTGTCCACCCTTAAATAAATTATGGCCACATTGTGTGCATTTAGTCGACTGCATGATAGAGATTGATTGGAGACAAAGCATGAATAAATCTTCACACAGACAAAAAACACACACATAAATGTCTGCATGTATTGTAACTAGGGTTGTCAGTAGATTTAGCCAAATTATTAAAATGCAATTAATCAAAAACTATCAGTCAAATCATTTTGATAATAATAGTTTAGATATAATAATATAAATCTGTAATAATAATATAATTTTAATATATAATATTATATTGATGTAACTTTTACACTATAATATAAAATTATAATTAAAAAAATATATAATAAGGCCTGGTTTCACAAACAAAGCTTAGATTAAGCCAGGAGGAGTAGTTCAATTAGGACATTTAAGTAGCTTTTATAAACGTGCCTTAGAAAAAAAAAACATTACTGGTGAGCATCTTGAGACAAAACAACGGCACTGACATTCTAAAATATGCCAGTGCAAGTTGCATTCAGTTAAAAAAGCTCAAACATTTTAGTCTGGGACTAGGCTTAAACCTTATCTGTGAAACTGGTGGGAAATTATATACATTAATTTACGTATATATCATTTAAATAAATATAATCGCAACGGAATAATCTTTTACTGAGTGACCGGTGATTTGAGGTCAGGCGTAGTACCATCTCATGGCAGTACCATCTCCCTGCAATGTGTGTGGATAAAGTTCACTGGGTTCCTTTGTCTCTGACAGAACAAGGGTCAGGCGTTGGCTCAGTCTGAGGTGAAGTCATTTGATAAAAGAACTCTCTCTCTCACTGCAGTAACGGAGGACAGAGCGTGTGACTTCAGATCAGGCTTGTTTATTTGGGCCAGTGACGTGGGAACAAGGACTTCAGCGATGCACTTACTGACATGACCACACTCTTTAAAAGGTGATGGCTTGAGCGACGGTTTGGATGTCTGAGAATGTGTGTGTGTGTGTGTGTGTGTGTGGAGTCTGTAGAGTGCTTTCTATAACCAAGGCTATTTGATGTTTCCACTGAGAGAAAAATGTCAAAATGACAGCCCAATCGAACCTGCACTTAAAATCCTGACTGAGCACTTAAGTCCTCCTAAACGCACATGAACGGCAAACAGATAGAAGAAAGCACACTTGAGTAAAGATGATCATGGCATTCTTCAAAATAAAGCTGATTTTTATAACCTGCATCAAAATAAAGCTGATTTTTATAACCTGCATCAATCTCTAATCAACTCGACTGAAAATGTAAACGCCGTTGATGATCCACACATCATCTTCTATAAAGTCATCATGAATCACACCCCAATTTACTATTGTAAATTATGTGACGCATTTATTAGCAAAACAGGATATAAATATAAAATAAATAAATAATGTAAACCAGGTTATATTAGGAACTGATTGGATTGCACAAACGTGAGCGTTTCGTCTCAACACTGTGCCGTATGTTTTTGGAGGTGACGGATAAAAACGAGTAATTTGTGATTTCAAATGAAATGGTTTCATTTTTCACATTCTGATAAAAGATTAAGAAGCAAATAATGTGCACAGATGAATCATGAACAATAAGACCTGAAACAAGAAAATCATGGGGTCAGTTTTGATTTAATTTGGACTTTAAATGAAGACCAGAAGTTACAAAACCTGTGTATTAATGTACTTGGCTAACAGAATATTATTAAATAACAATATAATTATGGCCATCACCTTCTAACATTACCTGATTTACACATTAGTAGTGTTTCAAAATTGCAAGGGCATGTCCGCATATAATTCATCAGATAGCGTTATTACTATTAGGCCCTGCTGGTGAACTGCGCTCACTGACGCATGGAAACATGTCAAAACGGAGTCACTCCACTTTCCACAAACCCAGATGGTCCCCCAGACCTTCATCTTCCACTCTCTCACACATACACACACACAATTTGCTATTTGTCTCCCTCCCCCATCTCTTTCATTCGCTCTCTCCGCTCCCTCATCCGACACGCACATGGCTTTGACACATTGTTTGTGGTCATCGGGTTGGTTTGGCAATTAGTAGCCATAATCTGATCTGACTGATATAGGCTCAAGGAGAGTATAATACACACAAATCTACCACAGCAAACACACTTTAAACCACAAAGGCCAATTGCCTTTCAATTAGCCACTATAAGAAGGGATCACTAACCCCGTTCCCTCCATCTGTCGCCTTCTAACACACTTCAACCTGAACGTGGGGGTGGGGGGGGACTCTCCAAAATGAATTTCAACAACACTTTTGTCTGTTCTGAATGTCTGAAAACTAAATCAGACACATTAGAGCTTGCGCAGACATCATTTAGTGCTGATTGTCTGTGCAAAATCAGAGAGCGTTTTGGCTTGTGATGCAAAAAAAAAAAGCATGCACGCTTAGGCAAAGCGAGTTACCGAGCAGCAGAGGGTTGAAAATAAAACCGTGTCTGAATTGTGTACTGCACACAGACTTGAGCAATACCTGTACGAGTGTTTTCAGACAGAAGGACAGGCAAACAGGTTGTGTGATGGATGGAATTGGAGAGGCAGTGGAGATGGAAACAAATAGAGAATCCCTTCATGTTGGCTGTGTGTTCATTACTGATCTGGAGACCAATCTCACGACACACACACACACACAGCATGCCGAATGAACGTCTGATTTCTGGCGCGGCTGCAACAACCAGTCAACCACCATCTGTCAAATGCCAGACAAGGAGGGAGATTTTTTTTTCCTCCCTTTCTCATTTTTGCGGTGTTTCTGCTTGATTTTTTAGAATAAATCATTGACGTGACCTGAATACAACACAATACTGGTCTTCATCTGTGGTTTGTATTCACAGAATTTAAATGTTCCTGAACAGGACACAGATTATTACTCATCCAATATGGGTTTGTCAATTAAATAGTTCACCTGAAGAAGAAAATGATCTATGTCGTTATTTATTTACCCTCATGCCATTCCAAACCTGTCTAGCTCTCTTTCTTCAGTCAGTGGAACACAAAAGGAGATGTGAGGCAGAATGACAGTCACCATCCACTTTGTGTGGAAGAAAGACAGAGACTGTCAGTCTCTAACATTCTTCTTAACATCTCCTTTTGTGCTCCATAGAAGAAAGCAAGTCATACAGATTTTTGAGGATGTAAATAGAGTAAATGACAGAATAATCTGGGTGAACCATCCTGAATGTGTGGTTATATTCTTTTCTCTTCCTTTTTCAATGTATCTAAGATTAAAATGCATCATAAAAAGTCAATTGATTAATTTTTAAAGGCCAAAATCACACCAAACCAAATGATACCACCAGTTTCCAAAAAAAATCTCTTTTTTTTTTACCTGTAAGAAAACATTTAAATAGCCAAGAAAAATAACATGTCTAAGCCTTACAGATCATACTGCACATATTGCATCTTCAGTACACATCTTAAGGTTTACCAAACATCCTTTACGTTTACCCACACACTAGTATGTGGCTGGTAGACCATTTTGAACCAGCAAAAAACCGGCTACCACTAGTCATACCAGCTTAAGGTAAGCAAGCTCGTTTCCCTTGGTCATAACTGGACATTAGCAAGTCCAAGATGGTCATTAACTGTTTTTTAACTGGCCCAAAGCAGGTTAAGGAATAATGTTTTCTGGTTGTTCATTCATTGACCTGCTATAAAACAGCCATTATGTTCTTTACCACCGTTACCATGTTAAAATCCAGCAGGGTTTAAGTAATCCAACCAGTTTCATTCATTCCTCAACATTCAGGCTCAGCACCACGAGCATCCCGCGTCTGTGGAACCGCCACAGAAACTCCTCAACTCCGTTGGAAGCCATAAAAAAAATCTTTTTCCATACTCAACTTAGTCCTCACGAATAAAGTCCAGCGCAATTTCCCGCTACGAGACATTTACCTGTCAAACCTGGAGCGCGTCAAAAAAGAGACAAACATCCACATATTTACCTTCCATCGCGAAAACGGCCGTTACAGCACACAAAGTCGTTATTAATCCCACAGTCATGGTAAAAGGCATTGGCCGCTGCCGCGGTGTCCACTTGATTTGGGAAAACCGGACGGCGTGAAGTGCGCGTAAAATCCGTCACTTGTCACGAAGGGTGATATTCCAGCGAGCGAGCGGCGTGGAGTCACATCGCAGGCAGTAGTAAAAGAGTGAGTGAGTGGATGCTGCCACGGACGCTGAGCGCCGAGACGAGAGCTTGGGAGACAACGGACCCCCCCGAAAACCCCTTTAAAACGGATGGACCAATCAGACACTGCAAACCGAAAACCACCAACCAATCACAGACCTTCTCTCCTTTCAGCACGCATTGTTATTCAAAACAAAAACTTTTCAGTGATTCTCTATAAGGTGAGATACGTCTTCGGTTGGAAGGGAAATAGCGAACTCAGGTGGCCACAAGAGGAACTTCACAGTTTAGATTCAAAGGTGTAAATCACTTCTCTCAAGTGCTTTGTTTTATTTTGTTGTCCTTTGGTGCCACCTAAATCGCAAGATTAAATTAGATGCTTCTCTAAATCAGTCTTTAAATAGCTATCATACAACACAATGTTGCTTTTTGACTTAAAAAATCGTTTGCATGAAACCGAGTAGCCTGGTAGGTGACTAACATAAAAACGTATTTTAAGGCAATATATAAAAGCAATAGTATAAAAACATTGCATGTTATGTATAATGATAATAAAGTTACATTTAAAAAATAACTTACTGTACAAATAAATCTAGTTTTCTAGAAAGTTTTACAAATCCACACAACTGGATGTTGCTACTGTTGTAATGGAAATTATAATCAAATTAAAAATGATCAGTATTCTTTTTACTGATCATAATTGGCTTCATTTAGAGCAAGAATAAAGCATGTGTCCCTGGAACATAATTCAGGTCTAAACAGGTGAAAAGTATTTGTCTAAAGACAGATTTGGCTCGGGTTTGTGCCTCTTCTCTTATGATTGATGGTTTTAGAATAAGCATTTGACATGAAACTTTATAAAAATGACACGGTCTGGGTTGTTTTTGCAACTGGTCTGTCAGGAGAAATAAATCAAATAGTTCCTTGTCTTTCTAATCATCTGGGCACGTTGTAAATTATTTGAAAGCAATAGAAGTAGTAGCCTAGGTCTGACATAAAACTCAACGTCTTTCATCATCCTGCAAGACTCCAGCCCAAAGGTAGACAGCAAATTATGACTGAAGTAATCTGCAAAGTGAAAGTGGGGTTTAAGTAGGCAGACGATTGGAACAGACATAGAAAGCGAGTCAGAGAGACCATGCGGTTGATACATTTAAGGGGAGGTTCTACAGGTGAACACATTCTCGCTTTTCCTTTCACTCTTAATGGGATTAAAATAAACTTTGAAGCAAACAAAAACAAGACTGTGACTTCACCTATATATCTAAGCTTCAAATATATAAAATATGAATAATAGTAATACATTTGCATATTATGTAACAAAATCTGCATAATTTCCGATTGATGCAGACCCAACAGAAAATGTCACAATTCTTCTTCTTTTTTCATCTTCTGTTTGGTTTTAATATTAAAGCCAGATCAGTCAAAAGGTTATTTAATGAAAAATGGCTAGAAAGATTCTAACAGATGCTCAGATAGATAGATAGATAGATAGATAGATAGATAGATAGATAGATAGATAGATAGATAGATAGATAGATAGATAGATAGATAGATAGATAGATAGATAGATAGATAGATAGATAGATAGATAGATAGATAGATAGATAGATAGATAGATAGATAGATCTTCTTGTTTGTCTTTAATTGAGACTTAAAGGTATAGTTCACTTTGAAATTAATTTTTGGTATGTTTTAGCTTACCTCAAGGGCATCCAAGATGTAGGTGTCTTTGTTTCCGCAGTAGTTTCAATTTTCATATTTTTAGGTCAAACCGTTCTTGTCTGTCAGTCATATAACCGCAGGCCTATGGTCACCACCTCAAAGAGCATGCACAGAGAAGTCCAAATTAAATATGATTTAATGACTCGTAAATGTAAGTACACATTGATGGCCTAAGACACGAAACGAGCGGTTTGTGTGAGAAAACGAACAGTATTTATATCGTTTTTACCTCTTGTAACCACAGCCACGTCCAAGTGATCTGAAGGCGCGGGCGCTTCGGTCTGCGCAAGCGCCGGAAGTGATCCAAATATGGTTGTGAAAAAAATTAAACGTTGTCTGTTGATATATCGAAATCGTCTTCCATTGCGATTTCCTGTATATCTAAATATGTTTAGATCTTCACAGTGAAAGGTAACACTTCCGAAATATCTGTGTAAACAATGAGTGACATACACGCGCAAGAGATCACTTCCGGCGCTTTCCGGCGCTTGCGCAGACCGAAGCGCCCGCGCCCTCAGATCACTTGGACGTGGCTGTGGTTACAAGAGGTAAAAACGATATAAATACTGTTGTTTTCTCACACAAACCGCTCGTTTCGTGTCTTAGGCCATCAATGTGTACTTACATTTACGAGTCATTAAATCATATTTAATTTGGACTTCTCTGTGCATGCTCTTTGAGGTGGTGACCATAGACCTGCGGTTATATGACTGACAGACAAGAACGGTTTGACCTAAAAATATCAAAATTGAAACTACTGCGGAAACAAAGACACCTACATCTTGGATGCCCTTGAGGTAAGCTAAAACATACCAAAAATGTATTTCAAAGTGAACTATTCCTTTAAAGCTAAACAGTTAAAGCATTAGACTTAAGACTGAACAGTTAAAGCAGATATTATCACTGTTTTTAATATAAGTTGAAAGCACAAACATTAAGTATTCATCAACATAAATCATCAACATACTGCAGTTTGGTTACTTCTCCTCTAGAGCTAGCCTAAAAGGAAAACTGAAAAATCAAAAGCAAAACCAAAACACCAGCCAAGCTAATACACTCCTAACCAGTCTAACCCTTTACCCGGGTCAAATTTCTTCTGAAAGCAAGTGTATGCTTTCTATATGAACCTGAATTAACAATGTGAAATGTTTTGCTGTTAATTGGAGCTCTATTCATTAGCACATTGAGCTTAATAAGCAGAGGATGTAAATGAGTTCGAGCTGGCTGTGCGCAGTGGGCCACTGCTGGGGAACCGCTGTTCTCAAGCACTGACTTTACAAGACTAGAGCGAGACAAGAACAAAACCGACCTGTCAGGAGAGCAACACACACACACACACACACACAAACACACACACACACACACACATTCTCAGACATCCAAACCGTGTGCACCTTGAGGTTTGTGTGATGTACTCAGCCAAACGGTTGTGCATGTGCATTTCCCAGTGCCAGCAAAGTTGTTCTGAGAATTGCGAGTGCATGCTGAAGCCGTCATTATCTTCATAAGGGCAGGAGGAAGACATTTGCATTCAAATTGGACTCTAATTGCCCTGCAAAGTCAGGGACATTTTATAATCATATTTATGCAAACAGCACACGTCACAGTCTACTCTCCCTCACTCCGTTCCCTTGGATTCAATTTTTATAACACACAGCTCATACTATTTTAGAAGTATACTATGCACAATATGCAAATGTCTATGTGCATTTACATGGAAAATATATATTTGCTACATTTGTCAAAGTGTGCTGTATGGAGCAGAGAAAACATTATGGAATACTTCATCCCACAAGTAACAAATGAAGTAGAATTATGATTTTAACATGTTTTTACCTACTTGATGAGATTGCCAAAAACTCACACATTTTACACAAAATCAGACAAGAGGCTGCACATAGTGAGGTCATGTGACAGGATACTAATCATTACATATTGCATATGAGTGTCGTTTTCTCTGAGGGGGCAAAATTGGATGAGAAAATAATTGACAGAACAGAAATTAGCATACCTTGACACACATACACTATACCCTAGTGAAAAATAAATAAACCAAATGTATTTGAAATACATTTATTTTATGGCAAGCACACTACAAATACCTTTACATATTGATGTCCTTAATATAAATACCCTGCAATTGTACTTTTGGTATACTAAATTGATACACTTAAAGTCTGCTAAATTGCAACCACTAATTTTATTTAGTTACCCAGTAACAGTGCTGAGGTCCATAGCATATTTTAATGTGCTAAAATGGAACTATTGCAAGAATACTTTAGGTAGACTTTAAATATCTTGCATTTAAACACTGATATTATACAGAGATCATACTATCCTTACTAAAAGTGATATTATAACACATGTTAGGCTTAATATTAAGAAATGTGCATTGTGCAATAAAGAAGTACTCCAAATAAAGTTTATTTATAATATCTATATCAGTATGTCGATTGATATAAATCAGTTATATAAATATAAAATATATAAATATATAAAATATATAAAATATAAATATAAAACAAATCAGTTGATATAATATCTATATCAAGCGATATGTCAGAAAATATCTTAATGGATGTGTAGTATACTTACATATTATACTTATAGGTTTTTTTCACTATCGTTCTTGATGTGAACATGCTTTTAGAGTGTATAGAGTGGGCTTATAGAGTGAAGCTTTCTTTCTTCTGGGCTGAATGTCCATCTCTCTAAGGTGTGCTGAAACAGATGGTGTAGACAAAGAGACAGTCATCAGACGGGGGGGCTTGCAGACCAACCCTGCTGTACAGTTATCAATAAAGAGGCCGTCCCACCTGCCTCGCTCTTTTCCAGTTCATCTCCTCATCTGCATCCCATCAGACTGATTTGGCATTGGGTGTCCTGCACCTGATAACACTCGAAGAGCATCCACTACGGTCATCTGTCTCTCTCTCTCTCTCCCCCACACGCTGGCTTGTATCTCTCCTGGGTTCCTTCTCCAATACTGGAGAGGAAATTCAATCGTGCTTTAGTAATCTCATTGAGGCCCACAGCCAGACCAGGCCATGCTGACATGACTGTCACACAACAGTATTGCATTAGAAACATGCAGCATGTCATTTCCCCACTGAAATAACAGCGGTACATGGCGAGAGGCCGCTGTATACTGACAGACTATTGATTATGCCTGGCAAATTACAGCTACAGCCTGCATGAGCTGAAACACCAGCACTGGCCCAGAAACACATTTCAAGTCTGACAACACAGCTGTGTGTTTCAAATATACACAAGTGTGGGATCAACTCGGCCTGTGTTAGGAACATGGAGTCTGTTGAAAGCATTTAAGGCCCAATCACACCAAG